CCTTGAAGAACCTTATGGTTCCTTTTCGATTTCAAATTCGATGACCTTGAAGAACCTTATGGTTCCTTGTGTTTCATGGGTTATGTTATGTTCAAGGTTGGACATTTGGCAGTCAAAGAAAAAAATTGATCAATCAACCAGTAAAACAATGTCAAATACTTTTTTTAAATTTTAACTGCATACACCAAATTTTACTTAATGCAAGTTAGAAGAAAAGAAAATTGAATCAATTTACAGTTTGTCTCTATTTTTTATAATATGCCATTATGATGAAGTTATATTGCAATTATGAAAAAAAAACACAACTGTTAACTGTATAAAATTAAAGGATAGTATACAGTTCATGAGCCAGACCCCCAAAATTGGACCAACTGGTACCACTTAAAGAGACAAATTTTGACCTGTCTCTAATTTTCAATTTTGTATGATAAGCCATTTGGATGTGGCAGCTTTATACAAAAAATCTGCATTTAAATTCTGGCAAAACTGTACGCCCAAGTTCTTACAAATTGAACATAACCATCTAAAAGGACAAGCTATATTGAAGTTACATGTATGTTTTGTGTTTTGACATATATTCATTACTTTCAGGTATCTATCCTCCCATAACAACAAAGAGAATTAAAATATATCCAGTTATGTAGCTAAAGTGGATCTTAGAACAGAGTACCTCTTAACAATAAAATTGCAAACATGCATTTTTGCCATATTTTTGTCTGTTTGTTAATAAAACTACAGAAATTATTATAAAGTTGTTTTTGCAAGTTTGCTTTGATTATGATTCTCTAGGGTTTATATTGGAGTAAATTACAATACCCTTAGATATTATTTTTAAGATTTATAGCAGAAAAGTAACAACTTCAACAAATAAACACTATATCAGTATGCCTTTTATTTGCATCTAACACACAGGTCAAAATTTCTAGGTCCTTTTTGGCAAAGAAACTTTTAAAGAACATTTTTAGATCATTCAGTTGAAATACTGTTGATCTTTCTATCCTTGCTCTAGAATACAAGATATCAAAATGTCTTAGTCTTAATATTAGGTCTAGTGTGACATTAAGCATTATTTCTGATCCTTTAATGATAAGATAAAAGGAATACTTTTTTATCCCGATCAGAACAAACATCATAATGATATTGAAATATCAATAATGTTTGCTTACCTGTATATTATAAGCCTTTTATAACTACCCTACATAGTCTTATGGTTATTACAAACAGGTGTTACAAGGTTGTACGAACACTGGGTATATGCATGCCAAACAATTTTCAGCAATACAATCAAGGTATTATAGGTTCAAATTTACCTTCATTACCACTATGTCAATCGTATTCCTATATGTTAAAGCATAAAGAACACATCATATATAAAATTGTCACAACATTTCTAATTGGTAAACAGTTCAAAGCACTAAACATCAGGAGCCACATACACCACTGAACAAATATTATAATATCTGGTATGACAGCTAATTCCAATCATTACTTTCCTCAAGGCAGTCATCATCATCAGATTCAGCATCACTGAGTTGATTGGTACATGATTTCATTTTGCAATTCTCTGTGCATCTAAGTCCATTAGCAAGACAAGGGCAGGTAGACATTTTACATGCTCTGGAGCACGTGCATGACAGAAGTTGTAAGCCCACCATCTCCATCCTCAAATTCCATGCACCAGCAATTGCTAACAGGAGATGGAATTTCAGTGCAGCTTTCCAGACAGTATTTCCATACTCCAGATTGGGAGTTTGCCCTCATGCAGTGTTTATGGAGAGCAGCAGCACAAGGTGGTAAATGTTACTACTCTTATCTCCCCACTTCTTTGCACAGAAACGTCTATATCACAGCTCACTGACACCCCTTGTTGATGCTATGGTATTGTAAACATGACATGTAAATGCTTCTAGCTGTTAGAACAATTATGTAGTCAGGATCCATTCAGTACCAAGCTGCTGTAGGTAGAGCTTCCTTCTCTTCAGGGTGAGTCTTGATGATTTTCAAGATTAGTTAATTTCCCTCTTCTTTGCACAGAAACATCTATATCACAGCTCACTGACACCCCTTGATGATGCTTTGGTATTGTATACATGACATGTAAATGCTTCTAGCTGTTAGAATAATTCTGTATTCAGGGTCCATTTAGAACCAAGCTGCTGTAGGTAGGGCTTCTTTCTCTTCAGGGTGAGTCTTGATGATTTTCAAGATAGTTACTTTCCCTCGTAAGCAATGTTTCTGCTTTTGAGTACTCAATATCACATGTTGTCTGTTGAATAAAGTTTTCTGATGACAGGTGCATTTATTTATTTCTAGTATATTCACAATAACATGACCTATGATATTGGTTTTCTGCTGCAACCAAATCTCCACAAGCAATTGCTAGAATTCTGGTGTCTTGCTTGTCTGTGGCAGCATTTCTAACAACCTCATCAGACCTCAATTCCATGCACTGAGTCAATGTCTCTCTGCTGTTGCTGTTTTTCAGATACTTGCTCTTTTTTTTGACCAAATATGCACACTGGATCATACACTCTTGATGAAGGTTCAGACACTGAAGAGAATCTTCTAGAAATATTCTTGGACCCTTTGACAAGTTCTCTCTGCTGTGATCTTCATTTTCTGTGGCACAAATTTTCTCCAAATCTTTTTTCATAGTGAACAAACTATGACATTTTCTATGGTATAAAATGTTTGGCACAGTGTCTTCTATTGTCTTTACAATGGCAAGAATCAGTGTGTAGTTTCATAATTCAGCAGCTTGGAAAAATGTTCTCCAAGATTCAATGTCTTTTGGAGTAGTCAGATTAGAGCTGAGTTCTTCATTGATACAGTGAATGATGCAAATTGGAACCGTCTTGGCTCACTTTGAAGGACCTGGCCCATCACCACCACCATTACCACTATGACATACACCTTCACCATGCTCACTACTTGCACCCCTTTTTCCCATCACCATCCATTTCTACAGGTAAACTATGCTACTCTACTCATCTAATCTACCTGAAATGAGACAGAAAGAAGAAGATTAGATCTAGTGACAGGTACTAAAAGAAGCTAAAAACTCTAAAATATGAATACTACTTTGTATTTTACTGTGTTTGATGCTAAATACACACATCTTCTGGTTGATTTGCACATACCTATGCAAACATATTAAAACCCATTGTAACAACCACATTTTTCATTATAAGTAAGTTTGTTTATGTAAACAATATGTACTGCAACCATGTCACACAAAGGACACATATACAGTTTGCCATTTAATGCCCTATTACACTTATGATGTAACTTGGGAAATATGACATCTTTCACCTCTTGTTTATTATTGTCTTTTGATTTTATTCTATAATCTTATGTACAAAATTCTATTATTTCAATAATATTTTGTCATAAACAGTCTTCAGATCATAAAGGCTGAAACATTTTTTGTTTCCGTTTGGCATAGGAAACAAAAGCGTATAAGCAAAATTTTGCCCCTAAAAGTGGTACCAACCAACCAAGCTGGCTCATGGATTAATAATATGGCATTGTATAATATCACTCACCAATAATGGTTTCAGCAAGTGAAAAGCAGAGACCCATTACATTCATGTAACAAATCATTAGACATACTGACACTTATATATATATATATATATATAAACACATATACATTTAGAAAATATATAGAAATATATAGTTATCACACATTAAGTACAGTTTTTATTGCTTGGACTGAACCCTTGGTCGTTTTGAAGGCTGTTAGTGTGGGTATAATTCCAAGACTAGCCTATTCCAGAATGAGGACTTTGTTTCTTAAGAATTAATCAGAAAGCCTTAGCTAGTATGCAGCTATTTGATATATGTTTTACAATTATTTGACCATATTTAGCCAGTCAAATATAAGT